ATCTGGAAAGGCTCATACTGCCTGTCTCCCGTTTATGCTCTAAAATAGTGGTTCCCAAAATGGGCGGTACCGCCCCCGGGGGACGTTGAGATGCCTTAGCAATAAGAGGCAAGGGGGCCAGCAGGGGGGCGCTAAGAGGCAGCAAGGGGGCTTTCGAGGCGCCGGCCATGCAGGTTCACTCTTGACTGTAGCACCACTTCAGAGCCGGCACCTTCAGTGTGGAAGTGGTGGCATGTAACGTGCCACCGCGGCCGCATTCAACGTGCCGCCCCCCTGCCACCTCTTAGCGTCCCCAAGGGGGCTGGCAGAGGGACGCTAAGGCGGCAGGGGGGTGTTTGAGGCACCGGGCAGCCCTGCAGTTTCACCCATAGAGGTGCCGGCTCCGGAGTGGTGCTAGTCAATGGGTGAACCTGCAGGGCCAGTCGGCGCCTCGAATGCCCCCCTGCTGCCTCTTAGCGCCCCTCTGCTGGCCCCCTTGGGGATGCTAAGAGGCGGCAGGGGGGTGTTCGAGGCGCCGGCCTGCCCTGCAGGTTCACCCATTGACTAGCACTGTTCCGGAGCCAGTGCCTCCAATGCGGCAGCATGTTGGGAAAAGCCACCGCCACCACTTTCCCAACGTTCCGCCGCTGTCGCATTCTGCCTGTCTGTCCGTCCATGTCCGTCCGTCCATCCATCCATCCATCCATCCAAAAGTTCTGTCTGTTTGCCTGCCTGCCTTCTGCCTACCTACCTGCCTGCCTGTCTGTCCCTCTCTCTCTTTCCATTCATCCATCCATGTTCGAAGCGCCGGCCCCACAGGCACATCGGGAAAGTAGAAAGTAGAGCAAAGCCAGTCTGAGAAGGAGGGAGGGAGGGAAGGAGAGAGGGAGTGAGAGAGAGAGAGAGAGAGAGAGAAAGAGAGAGAGACCTGATGCATCAGACTGAATGACGCCTAGTTTAGACTGAGGCCCTTTTCCACATTAAAACATCTTTGCCAGCACATTGAAAAATCTTTGGCTTCTATTAAAGGTTTTGTGGACGAAACATGGTCAAGACTATCAGGAAGCTCTCACATTTTGTTGAGGCTTTAAACAGGATCCACTGGACCAGATCTCCACCCTAAACATTACTTTTCCCCAATGTATTACAGTGCCAATTCTGAAGAAGGCAAACCCAAAATGTACTGGTAAATTACAAGGAGAACACACACACACACTCCCTTCTAACCCTGCTGGAGCAGATGATTGGACTAGAATAGATATCTCATTATCTTTCTCCTCCCTCTCTCCCTCCTTCTTTATTTCTTTTTCTTTCTTTCCACCAACGCCAGAAAGCCACCATCAGTGGCTCTCTCCCTCTCTCACACAAACAGAGGCAGGGGTGGGATTTAGACCCCTGATCTAAAGCTGTCAAAACTCCAAAAACAGGTCAAGTAGCTCTGGGGAGGCCAGTCATAAATTAGAAAACTTGCTAAACAGCCGGCCATTAAGTGAGGATCACTTGTATTTGGTTTGCCAGTCACCTGGCCACGCCCACCCAGTCACATAACCAGTAAGCCACACCCACCCAGTCGTGTGACCAGCAAGCCACACCCTCAAATTAGACCACACCCACAGAAATTTGAATCCCACCCCTGGGTGGGGGGCACCGAGGATGAGTTTGTAGCACCAAGGGGGTGGTGGACTGAAAAAGTTTGGGAACCACTACTCTAAAACAATCTTTGGGTCTCTCAATCTCTCTCTTCCTCCTAATAAAGAAAGATGTTAGTGGACGTATTCATATTGTTTTATAAGCTGACTGTATATCATTACAGTTAGAGATAATTTGTTCGTAACTACCCCCTTTCTCTTGTACAATAATTTTGGTGGTTCATTAACTTTTTTGTGTACATACTCTTAACTTGCAATGCCCTTGACATAAATAGCAACCATCTTAAATTGTTGTTACAAATTTTACAAGGCCCATGATATAGATATTTTAACAAATGAAGTTCTATCTTTATGCTAGTTTTGAATGCTCTGATACATAAATGTAAGATGATTAAGACTATAATGCAAGGGTCACAATTTCTTTACCATCATGGGGAAAAGATGGAAATATATCAGAAAAAGGGACAACACTGATAAAAAATGAAGGTTAGTTACCTTATGGTCATTAAAAATATATTTAAAAGCAAGGTATTGTTTAAATGAATGTCAAGGATACAAGAATGCAATACATGGAGAAAACAATTTTGTTAATCATAATAAGAATAGCTGACCTTGAATATCAATGAGATATTTTTAAAACAAAGCTATGCAATGATTCAACCTCTACAGTGTGTGCAAATGAAATGTTTTGTTTTATAAAGTTGATTCAAGGACATCTCTTTCTGCATACAAGAACTAGAAAAAAAAAACGGCTATAATACGGTAAATTTATTTATTTTTAAATCTGCACAAATTCTTGTAAATCAAAGTAATGTAAATGTGAATGAATTTGTAACAGTTGGTTCCTCTTTTATTTTTTTTCTCATAGTAGTATGGATTTCTAGTCAGTTAGATGCTCCAATTTCAGATGAGAAAGACCTATTTCAACAATAATAGAATGGAATAGAATACCTTTATTGTCATTGCATTCTACAAATACAATGAAATTTGAAAGCTACTCCAGCACAGTGCCCCAAACACCACATCACAATCATACTACAGAGATAATAATAATGATAATGATGATGATGATGATGATGATAATGATAATGATAATGATAATGATAATAATAATAATAATAATAATAATAATAATAATAATAATAATCGTCATCGTCATCGTCATCATCATCATCATCATCTAGTCTAAAACCTATCTAAAACATATAGTAAGTTAGATAAAAATGCCACTATATACATAGGACTAAATCACATATGCATTATTTGATTCAAGACAATTATTGCCTTGGAAAAGAAACTGTTTCTCGGACTATTAGTCCTCATTTTAAGACACCTATAGTGTCTCCCTGATGGTAACAGTTCAAAATATGAATGACCAGGATGAGAATGGTCTGTGGAGATTTTTAATGCTCTAGAGAGGAGTCTGGTCTTTGCAATCTCTTCCAAAGAAGAAAGACAGCAACCGATGATTTTTTGTGCTGTTTATAACTCTCTGGAGCATCTTCTTATCCACTACAGATCACCCAGCATACCACACCATTACACAGTATGCCAAAATGCTCTCGATGGTAGAACGGTAAAAAGTAACCAGCAACTTCTCACCCAGATCACTCTTTTTCAGCAGCCTCAGAAAGTGCAGGCGCTGTTGGGTCTTCTTTGCAGTGGCCATAGTGTGGACCAACAAGTAAGGTTGTTGGAAATATGAGTTCCTAGAAATTTAACTTAAAATGGTATCTACTGTATAATTGAGTAATATTACAAAACTTGTTCAAAGCAAGTCATCTTTATACCTAAGTTCTTCTTAAGGCTAACCTTATTAACTGTTAACAAATAAAATATAACTTATTACCTTTTAAACCCTATTAAAAGTGAGATATACTTCACTAACATACAGCTTAATTTGCTGCTATCTCCCTTCTGATATTATATTACATAAAATTATATTAGCTTACTATTATTCTAGTAAGTGTGCAAAAGAATAAACATATCTAAATGTCACAGACAATTCAGCAAAATTTGAATAATATCTTTAAACTGTATTTCCATAAAATATATCAAAATACCACTTATGCATCATCACAAAATCTCCAGAACTGTACAGCCTACAAACTTGAAATTTGGCACGTATGTTCTTCTTGGCTTCTAGGTGCTCACTAAGAAATGATTTTTCAAAATGACCATCAGAGCATTAGTATTTCATATATTATTAACACACTCTGATGCTAAGGAGTTCTTCTCCCCCTCCCCACCTGAAAAGAACACAAGCAGAAGAGAGGAGTTTCAGTTTCATTTCATAGCAGCAACCAGCTTTAATACAGAACAGTTGAGCTAAGCCACGTCCAGGCTCCTTGCTGTCTCCTTCTTGCTCATACAGAAAATACTGCTTCAGTTTCCAAACAGCCCTCAACTCTCTCACACACTGACAGGATGCTAGCCAGATGAATCCCAATGGATGCTGGTAGGCAGAGGCACAATCCCCCCCCCCCCCCCCATTATTTTCCTCCCCAAAAACTAAGCCCGATCACAGTTTCGTAGCGAAGCAGGGGTATAGAGCTAGTACGAAATATGAGCACATCTGCCTTATAGACTGTTGATGGCAATATATCAATTTTTGTTTTTAAAAAAGTTTCTCTCCAGGGGTCTTCAAACTTGACAGCTTTAAGACTTGTGGACTTCAACTCCCAGAATTCCTTATCCAGTCATGTTAGCTCAGGAATTCTGGGAGTTGAAGTCCACAAGTTTTAAACTTGCTAAGTTTGAAGACCCTTGATCTAATTTCTCTAGATACCAAAGCAATAACTTGCTGGAGATTTATGCCCATGAATCCTTGTCTTGTAGATGTTGTGATTGTTCACAGGTTAAGGAAAGACACAATTTAATTATGTGTGAAGTAATATAATAACTGGGGCGGCGGGGTGTGTGTGTGTCAACTATGCAAATAACAGCCGGTCTTAAAATTGTAGTGGCTAAGTATTTCTTACAGACCAAATTCTTACTACCAATGTTCAATAACTTGTATAGTCCCTTGAGTCTCAAATAACTGAAAAAAATTTTCCATGTTAATTTGAATGCTCTTTACAATTGGCTGTGACAAATAAAGTGGGCTTCTTGATACTTGAATTTTAGCTATGGAATAGCCTCTATCAGGTCTACCTTTCAGAGATTTCAGAGCAATATAGGTGTCACAATAGGCAAGGTCTTTCTTGTGTCAACTCAGTTTTCTAAGATTGAGAAAATTATTCTAATATTTTGTTATCATCACTGAATAATTAGCTAAAATTTTTGGTTCCTAACATACATAAAATATATTTGAAGTATGTATTGGAATTATTGACAAAGCACCTTTACAGATAATATACAAAGCATAATTACCGAGTTTTATTCATTAAGTCAGCTCCACGTGCTTTGTAGTAATCCAAGTTCTGTTGGAATTGGTGAGCTATAGGTCTGGGATTTCTCTAGAGAGAGAGAGGGAGAGAGAGACGGAGAGAGAGAGAGGGAGAGAGAGAGAGGGAGAGAGAGAGGTATTGTTAGAGTGCATAATTGAAATTTTAAAATGTGACCAACCTAATTCCATCCAATAAGATTTAAATTAAAAGTACTGACTTTTTAAATACATGCATTAAACATCAGAAACAGAACTATTCAATCTCAAGTTGCAGTGTACCTTTCTTAACAAAATTTAACAAACTAGCACAACCACTAGATGGTGCATCCAGCCTTTTTCTACACTTATCAAAACATTCAAGATGAAACATTAGGCATAAATAAAAATGCTATATATAAACATATATGTATACACATATACACCTCATTTTTATTCATTAATAATATGATTTTATGAATCATTAATAATATTAAATATTAGTTTGCTATAATGGGAATTGAATAATGGTTATTAAAATGCTAATGCACATATAATCAGTATGATGTACAATTAGTCCACCATTTTATTTGGTAGGGTTTCAGGAAGAGGGAATAAGACTTTTTAAGATCTATTTTTGAAGATAATAATTACTGCAAATGTATCTAAGATTTTTAAAATTTAATCCATTTCTAAAAATAAAAATTTTCTATTAATAGATAACACAGAGATGGTTCAAAGGTTCCAGTGATAGGTTTTTAGGACAAAAAGACATAGAAATATTTTTCAAAGTCTTACAAAACATCAATTAAGGAATCAGTTGGAGGATGGAAAAAGAAAAAAAAAAGCTATTTTTAAAACTGGTCCTTCCTGATTGATGTCTAGATTGGACCGAACTTGGAGAGGCATATTGAGATCATTTCAGGATACTATTTGATCATGGCCTCAATGTCCCTTAATTTATCTTTTTTTTTTCAATTGCTGAGTTAGGAATTTCTGGTATTTCTATATGAGGTATTTCACCCCTTTTAATTAGACAGAATTACTCCTGGTCCTGGCTGGACATTTTGATTTATTTTCATTTTCTGGTGGTTCTGATAGTAGAGGTTAGGTAAGGCAGCAAAGTTGTTAATATAGGATTGAACGGAACATGAGAGTTCTGATTTCTTTGTCTGTCTGTCTGTCTGTCTGTCTGTCAGTCAGTCAGTCAATCAAATATTTATTACAAAGACCAGTACAATTAAAAATGATCCAGGAATTTTAGAATAAAATAATAACAAATAAAATCTACGTTGAAATTATAAACTAGCAGTTTATTTATCAGTTGCACATAAACAAGAGCGCAGCATAAACTATAATGTAATAGTCCTTAAATTGTGAAGACCTATAATTATTAGGTACTAAGATTTTCTAGTTTGAAATGTGACTTCTTTCTCTGCTATCAAGGATGATAGTGTGACTTGTGGATTAAATTAAGCTACATGTAATAGGTGATGTTAATTATTATTTAAATCATATTTATAAATATAATTGCGACAAATTAAATATTTCACCCACTAAGTTATTTTATACATAGCAATATATTTAACTGAATCATATTTTTTTAAATACACTTTATTGATTTTACAATTAAAATAGACCAACAACACATACATAAATGCAAGAGAGAAAAAGAAAACAAGAAAAAAAAAGAATAGAAAGAAAAAGATAGAAAACAATTAAAAACATTTTCATCTTCAACAGTTTGTGAGACCTCCTTTTTATCCTTATTTTATGCCATATACACAATTAATCCTTACATATATCTTTATATCACTACTATGATTCTATCATATCTTCTTTTTCCTTTTAGTGTGAAATCTGTCTTTGGTCTATCCATTTGTATCAGCAGTTCCAGCTGTCGTAATATATTGAAGTGTCTTTATCTTTTAATACCAAGGTTAATTTGTCCATTTCTGCACAACTAGAAATTTTTTGAATAATCATCCCCTCTGATGGAACATGAGGCTGTTTCCAACATTGTGCAAAAGCCAATCTGGCCGCTGTCAAAATATGTATTATTATATATTTCATTTTTTTTGGTAGTTCTTTATCAAAGATCCCTAATAGAAAGGACTCTGGTTTAAATTCGATCTGTTCTCTTGTCATTTCCTCCAGCCAATTTATAATTTTCTGCCAATATTTTTGAGCTTCTGTACAAGACCACCGCATATGGAAGAAAGTTCCCTCTTTTTTTTTGCATTTCCAGCAGTTCAGACTCATATTGGGGTGCATCTTCGCTAATCTCGAAGGAGGAAGGTGCCACCTGTAAAACATTTTATAGACATTTTCTTTGTACGCTACCGATTTTGTGATTTTGTTATTTCTACCCCAGACCTTTTCCCATTCTGTTAAGGTGATACTACGTCCTGTGTTCCTACTCCAGGCTATCATGTTCCCTTTAACAATTTCTTCCTCTAATTCTACTTCTAATAAATAATTATAAAAATTTTTTTTGCCTGATCCTAACAAAATTTTATCTAATTGCTGGAGTTTATTATTAATTCCAAATTCTTTCTTGTGCTGTTTGTATCTACTTTGAATTTGCAGATATGCCCACCGATCAATTTTTAATCCCTGATCTTGAAGGTCTTGCCACGATTTCAGATTTCCTTGAGTATCCAATAGGTCCTTATATTTAATCATTTTAGTAATATCCAGATTATTTGAGTGAGTCATTGCTTCCATTGTTGAGATCCAGATTGGTATCTTTAAGTAGTGTTTTTTCCATATTTTCTTCCAATTAGTCAATAATGAATCTCTGATTAGGTGTCTGTGAAAATATTTCTGGCTAGTTTTCCCAATATCCCATAAAAAAACATGCCACCCCCTCTGTAAGTCATGGCCTTCTAAGAGTAATATTCTCTTATTGCTTAAATTCACCCATTCCTTCAACCATACTAAAGAGGCCGCACTATAAAACAACTCCCAATTTGGGAGTGCCAACCCTCCCCTGCTCTTCATATCCTGCATTGCCTTTGAGTTTATTCTAGGTTTTTTCCCTTGCCAGATGAATTTTGCAGTTATTTTGTTAAGTTCTTCAAAAATCTTTTTGTGTACTTTAATTGGAATCGTCTGAAATATTTAGAGGAATTTTGGAAGAATATTCATTTTAATAGCAGCAATCCTGCCTAATAGTGAAAGTTGCAGTTTTCCCCATGTTTCTAAATCCTTCTTTACCTGTTGCATTAATTTGTCATAATTGTTTTCCTTTAGTGTCTTACAATGTGCTGTCAACCATATTCCTAAATATTTAACTTTCTTTATCACTTATAGTTCCATAACTTCTTCTAGTTCTAATTTCTGTTTTTCTGTTAAATTTTTAATCATTAATTTCGTTTTCTTCCGATTAATTTTTAGACCTGCTACTGCTCCAAATTGGTCTAATTCATTCATCAATTTTTGTTCTCTTTCTCATATCATCCGCAAACGCTTGCAACTTATATTCTTCTTTCTTAACCTTTAATCCTTTTATGTCTGGGTTCTGTCTAATTCGCATTAATAATGCTTCTAGTGATAATATGAAGAGCAGGGGTGAGAGTGGGCAGCCCTGTCTGACTCCTTTTTCTATTTTTATTGGGCGGGTATATTCCCCGTTTATTATAATATTCGCCTGTTGTATATCATAAATGGTTGTTATAATATTTTCAAATTTGGTGCCTAAATTCATATTATAATTTTTTGGGATTAAAAATTGCCAATTTAAGTTATCGAAGGCCTTCTCTGCGTCTAAAAATATAAGTGCTATTTGTTTTTCGGGGTGGGCTTTGTAAAATTCTAAAACATCTAATACTATTCTTAAATTATTCCTGATTTGTCTGGTTGGGAGAAATCCATTTTGGTCTTCATGTATATGCTCATTTAAAATTCTTTTTAGTCTACTTGCTATAATAGAAGAAAATATTTTGTAGTCAGTATTTAGCAAAGAAATCGGCCTATAATTTTGTATATATCGGGGATCCGAATCCTCCTTTGGGATCAGTGAAATCAATGCCCCCTCCATGAGTCCGGCATCCCGGCTGCCAATAAGACGTCATTAAAAACTTCCACCATAAGAGGTCCTATTTGTTCTACTATTGCCTTGTACAGCTCCCCTGGGATCCCATCTGGCCTGGGGATTTGTTGTTTTTCTGGTTCTTTATTGCTGATTTCAATTCGAACCAAGTGATGTCTTTGTTTAATAATTCTTCCATTTCTTCCCCAATTGCTTATCCTTCATTTCATCTAAATAGTTTCTTATCCTATCTTTGTTAACCTCTTCCTTTTTATATAACTCTTCAAAATATTTATGGGCAATTTCTTTTTTCTGTTCTATGCCTTGTTGTATATCCCCCTTTCCATCTATTAGCTGATAAATCCATCTTTTTTCTTTCCTTTTTAAAAATCTATATGATAGCCATCTCCCTGGCTTGATTGGCATGCTCAAAATGAGTTTGTCTAGTTGTATTCAGAATTTGTTTTGCTAAGCGTATTTTTCACGGAGCTGGCGTCGTGACGATATGGCATGCGATCTTGGAGGTCTGAGATCACTGCCGATATCTTTGCTCCTGGATGGTCCATTTGGATCTAAACTGTCCCGAAGAGATGGTGAATGTAAAGAGCGCATCCTGTCGATCCCAGGGATGTCGCAAAGTCCCTGATAGATCCAGGAGAAGCTCTTTTTGCAAGCGGCAAAGAGGCAGCCATTAAAGCTGCTGAAGTTGGGACAGCTCCGAAACAAAAGAGAACGGAAGGAGAAAGTGTGCCGGTTTGGTGAGAACTTTTTCTTTATTTTAAGATTTGAAAGGACACCCTAAGGAAAAGAAAGAATCTGTAAAAGTTTTGACAGAAGTGATTAAGCGGCGATTTTAAACAGGAATGTCAAAGTAATTTTTTTTTCCTCATTGCTGGATTTTCTACACATGATTTTATATTTTGAAACTGGACTGTTTTTTTTCTTCTTTCACCTATTCTTTCTCTCCTTTTTGACTTTATAATATTCTAGGCTAGAGACTCCCTTTTAGTCATCTTTTTAAATATCTTTTTCCCTTTTTAATTAATTTTTATTATATTTTG